TAGCGCTGTTACACACTCTCACCACTCCTTCGTTCAGGGTCTTGCTCACACATGCATAGCGCTGTTACACACTCTCACCACTCCTTCGTTCAGGGTCTTGCTCATACATGCATAGCGCTGTCACACACTCTCACCACTCCTTCGTTCAGGGTCTTGCTCATACATGCATAGCGCTGTTACACACTCTCACCACTCCTTCGTTCAGGGTCTTGCTCATACATGCATAGCGCTGTTACACACTCTCACCACTCCTTCGTTCAGGGTCTTGCTCACACATGCATAGCGCTGTTACACACTCTCACCACTCCTTCGTTCAGGGTCTTGCTCATACATGCATAGCGCTGTTACACACTCTCACCACTCCTTCGTTCAGGGTCTTGCTCATACATGCATAGCGCTGTTACACACTCTCACCTCTCCTTCGTTCAGGGTCTTGCTCATACATGCATAGCGCTGTTACACACTCTCACCACTCCTTCGTTCAGGGTCTTGCTCATACATCCATAGCGCTGTTACACACTCTCACCACTCCTTCGTTCAGGGTCTTGCTCATACATCCATAGCGCTGTTACACACTCTCACCACTCCTTCGTTCAGGGTCTTGCTCATACATCCATAGCGCTGTTACACACTCTCACCACTCCTTCGTTCAGGGTCTTGCTCATACATGCATAGCGCTGTTACACACTCTCACCACTCCTTCGTTCAGGGTCTTGCTCATACATGCATAGCGCTGTCACACACTCTCACCACTCCTTCGTTCAGGGTCTTGCTCATACATGCATAGCGCTGTTACACACTCTCACCACTCCTTCGTTCAGGGTCTTGCTCATACATGCATAGCGCTGTTACACACTCTCACCACTCCTTCGTTCAGGGTCTTGCTCATACATGCATAGCGCTGTTACACACTCTCACCACTCCTTCGTTCAGGGTCTTGCTCATACATGCATAGCGCTGTTACACACTCTCAACACTCCTTCGTTCAGGGTCTTGCTCATACATGCATAGCGCTGTTACACACTCTCACCACTCCTTCGTTCAGGGTCTTGCACATACATGCATAGCGCTGTCACACACTCTCACCACTCCTTCGTTCAGGGTCTTGCTCATACATCCATAGCGCTGTTACACACTCTCACCACTCCTTCGTTCAGGGTCTTGCTCATACATGCATAGCGCTGTTACACACTCTCACCACTCCTTCGTTCAGGGTCTTGCTCATACATCCATAGCGCTGTTACACACTCTCACCACTCCTTCGTTCAGGGTCTTGCTCATATATCCATAGCGCTGTTACACACTCTCACCACTCCTTCGTTCAGGGTCTTGCTCATACATGCATAGCGCTGTTACACACTCTCACCACTCCTTCGTTCAGGGTCTTGCTCATACATCCATAGCGCTGTTACACACTCTCACCACTCCTTCGTTCAGGGTCTTGCTCATACATCCATAGCGCTGTCACACACTCTCACCACTCCTTCGTTCAGGGTCTTGCTCATACATGCATAGCGCTGTTACACACTCTCACCACTCCTTCGTTCAGGGTCTTGCTCATACATGCATAGCGCTGTTACACACTCTCACCACTCCTTCGTTCAGGGTCTTGCTCATACATGCATAGCGCTGTTACACACTCTCACCACTCCTTCGTTCAGGGTCTTGCTCATACATGCATAGCGCTGTTACACACTCTCACCACTCCTTCGTTCAGGGTCTTGCTCATACATGCATAGCGCTGTTACACACTCTCACCACTCCTTCGTTCAGGGTCTTGCTCATACATGCATAGCGCTGTTACACACTCTCACCACTCCTTCGTTCAGGGTCTTGCTCATACATCCATAGCGCTGTTACACACTCTCACCACTCCTTCGTTCAGGGTCTTGCTCACACATGCATAGCGCTGTTACACACTCTCACCACTCCTTCGTTCAGGGTCTTGCTCACACATGCATAGCGCTGTTACACACTCTCACCACTCCTTCGTTCAGGGTCTTGCTCATACATGCATAGCGCTGTTACACACTCTCACCACTCCTTCGTTCAGGGTCTTGCTCACACATGCATAGCGCTGTTACACACTCTCACCACTCCTTCGTTCAGGGTCTTGCTCACACATGCATAGCGCTGTTACACACTCTCACCACTCCTTCGTTCAGGGTCTTGCTCACACATGCATAGCGCTGTTACACACTCTCACCACTCCTTCGTTCAGGGTCTTGCTCATACATCCATAGCGCTGTTACACACTCTCACCACTCCTTCGTTCAGGGTCTTGCTCACACATGCATAGCGCTGTTACACACTCTCACCACTCCTTCGTTCAGGGTCTTGCTCACACATGCATAGCGCTGTTACACACTCTCACCACTCCTTCGTTCAGGGTCTTGCTCATACATGCATAGCGCTGTTACACACTCTCACCACTCCTTCGTTCAGGGTCTTGCTCACACATGCATAGCGCTGTTACACACTCTCACCACTCCTTCGTTCAGGGTCTTGCTCATACATGCATAGCGCTGTCACACACTCTCACCACTCCTTCGTTCAGGGTCTTGCTCATACATGCATAGCGCTGTTACACACTCTCACCACTCCTTCGTTCAGGGTCTTGCTCATACATGCATAGCGCTGTTACACACTCTCACCACTCCTTCGTTCAGGGTCTTGCTCATACATGCATAGCGCTGTTACACACTCTCACCACTCCTTCGTTCAGGGTCTTGCTCACACATGCATAGCGCTGTTACACACTCTCACCACTCCTTCGTTCAGGGTCTTGCTCACACATGCATAGCGCTGTTACACACTCTCACCACTCCTTCGTTCAGGGTCTTGCTCATACATGCATAGCGCTGTTACACACTCTCACCACTCCTTCGTTCAGGGTCTTGCTCACACATGCATAGCGCTGTTACACACTCTCACCACTCCTTCGTTCAGGGTCTTGCTCATACATGCATAGCGCTGTCACACACTCTCACCACTCCTTCGTTCAGGGTCTTGCTCATACATGCATAGCGCTGTTACACACTCTCACCACTCCTTCGTTCAGGGTCTTGCTCATACATGCATAGCGCTGTTACACACTCTCACCACTCCTTCGTTCAGGGTCTTGCTCACACATGCATAGCGCTGTTACACACTCTCACCACTCCTTCGTTCAGGGTCTTGCTCATACATGCATAGCGCTGTCACACACTCTCACCACTCCTTCGTTCAGGGTCTTGCTCATACATGCATAGCGCTGTTACACACTCTCACCACTCCTTCGTTCAGGGTCTTGCTCATACATGCATAGCGCTGTTACACACTCTCACCACTCCTTCGTTCAGGGTCTTGCTCACACATGCATAGCGCTGTTACACACTCTCACCACTCCTTCGTTCAGGGTCTTGCTCATACATGCATAGCGCTGTTACACACTCTCACCACTCCTTCGTTCAGGGTCTTGCTCATACATGCATAGCGCTGTTACACACTCTCACCACTCCTTCGTTCAGGGTCTTGCTCATACATGCATAGCGCTGTTACACACTCTCACCACTCCTTCGTTCAGGGTCTTGCTCATACATCCATAGCGCTGTTACACACTCTCACCACTCCTTCGTTCAGGGTCTTGCTCATACATCCATAGCGCTGTTACACACTCTCACCACTCCTTCGTTCAGGGTCTTGCTCATACATCCATAGCGCTGTTACACACTCTCACCACTCCTTCGTTCAGGGTCTTGCTCATACATGCATAGCGCTGTTACACACTCTCACCACTCCTTCGTTCAGGGTCTTGCTCATACATGCATAGCGCTGTCACACACTCTCACCACTCCTTCGTTCAGGGTCTTGCTCATACATGCATAGCGCTGTTACACACTCTCACCACTCCTTCGTTCAGGGTCTTGCTCATACATGCATAGCGCTGTTACACACTCTCACCACTCCTTCGTTCAGGGTCTTGCTCATACATGCATAGCGCTGTTACACACTCTCACCACTCCTTCGTTCAGGGTCTTGCTCATACATGCATAGCGCTGTTACACACTCTCAACACTCCTTCGTTCAGGGTCTTGCTCATACATGCATAGCGCTGTTACACACTCTCACCACTCCTTCGTTCAGGGTCTTGCACATACATGCATAGCGCTGTCACACACTCTCACCACTCCTTCGTTCAGGGTCTTGCTCATACATCCATAGCGCTGTTACACACTCTCACCACTCCTTCGTTCAGGGTCTTGCTCATACATGCATAGCGCTGTTACACACTCTCACCACTCCTTCGTTCAGGGTCTTGCTCATACATGCATAGCGCTGTCACACACTCTCACCACTCCTTCGTTCAGGGTCTTGCTCATACATGCATAGCGCTGTTACACACTCTCACCACTCCTTCGTTCAGGGTCTTGCTCATACATGCATAGCGCTGTTACACACTCTCACCACTCCTTCGTTCAGGGTCTTGCTCATACATGCATAGCGCTGTCACACACTCTCACCACTCCTTCGTTCAGGGTCTTGCTCACGTACAATGTACATGCACATGCGCGTGCAACGTTAGGTCAAGCTAAACACAAGAGCTCTCCATCTACACCATCATGTTCCCCTCCAGAAACACTGTACATGTGGTCAGTGTTTTGTTATCATGATTGTATACGTTATTAAATAACGTATGCAATGTTACATATGTACTGTGCTCCGCGTACGCGTGTGACAGTACGTTTGTTCACACCTACCGTACGCACTGTGCCCTCATGCGCACCCCCAGCTTGATTTGTACTACACATGACTTCTATGGAAATATGCATGAGCACTGATCTGATCTGGCATGTTCCTTTCTGTTTGGCTATTCTTTGGTGACACGTTTTGAAACCTTGTCTCTGGACACGGAGAATCGTTTGTCATAATAAACTCGATAGCTGTATCACAGTCAGCGTCTTGAATACAAAATTGATAATGAAATAGACTACAAATGGAAATGGAATAGAAACAAGTACCTTAGCAAGCTCCTGCATCAAAGTGGCATCTGCACAAGAAAAGACAAACAAGAATTGATTGAGTATTATGCTCCCTCTCCTCAGCTTGGCTAGCTCTTTCTGGTTGGTGACAGCTTTTTGTTATCCACCCCTATGCAACGCTTGCTGTGCTTATCACAGTTTTTATTATCTATTTTCTACTTCGGCCAGTATGACTACTACAGTATTCACTTCGTCGTGGGGGTTAGATATGGGGAAGTTGCCATGCAGGGTTGGTGAGCCCGCCTTTCGGCATCCCGCAGTTAGAGCACTCTGACTTTGATGTTTTGAGCCTCGCTCTGTCGTTCAGTAGACTTCAGTGCGATCAGTTCGGTCCGTAGTTTGGAGCTCCGCTGACAAGATCTAACAAGATCGAAACAGCTAGCTAGCTGTCCGGAGATTGAATATTTCGCTTCCTCGCCTCGGCTTGGTTGAGCACTCTTTCTGGTTAGCGTGAAAGCTATCTGCCGTTGTGCAAAGCTCACTGCGGGCTAGAGCACTCTGACGTTGATGTTTTGAGCCGGTTTAAAAATGCACTGTCATTCATTTAATAGGCTTGGCCAGTAACTCACTAACGAGAGCTAACAAAATCAAAACAGCTAGCTGCCCAGAGATTGAGTAATCTAGTTTCAGAAAGGTTTCTTTCTAGTTGAACTCAACATCACCACACACACCATGAATAATGTCAGTGAAATGTCAGTGACTGCATTCGTGATCAGCGATGGTTACTAGGTACTACTACTAGTACACTAGACTGGGCCAACTAGCAACATGGCCATGTGTTTGCCACTCACTGGCTACATATGATGGCACACATACAGATATGAGCACACATACAGAGACCCAAACAAACACAACTGCAAAGTATGGCAGCAGCGTGCGTGGAAGACAGCTGGACAAAACAGGAAGTAGTGAACAGCCTACCTGTAGGGGTTTTGGTGCCAGACTGCACCAGGATTTCATACTCGTGCCTGCAACGCGAGTCACACAGTCAACAATAACAAGAAAGTCAAGAACAATAGCTTTTGAAACATGCACACACCTGAACAATTTGCTGCGATCTGCACCTGCACAGATGCACTGCATCAGTACAGCCCATGGTATTAGTATTTACCGCCACCATGCGCCAAAAGGATGTGAGCTACAAACTACGCTTTCCCGAACCCATATGCAGAGCAGCATCACTGGTTTATATACTCGTACTTGGGGGCAAAACCAATCATGCATGCGCTGGATCATAATTATGACCAATAAGCATCACCAGGATTGTGTGATCAATGAATATCACCAGAATCATATCGCCAGGCAATATCACCCATGGTGCATGTACAGCAAAGAATCAGGACACTTTCAAAGAGTCACAGAGTGAAGTACCCGCAAAGCGACAGCTACATGTACGCGTAAAAATAAAAAAAACTTACTTGAAAGACTGAATTTCATAGTCAAGCCCGTCAGCTGCATTCTTCAGCTCCAGTAAAAGAACAATCCGATTTCTAAAATCCAGAGATGCACACACACATACAGACACACGCACACAAGCACACATACACACACAGACACACACACACATGCTGACTTATGAGTGTCAGTAGAAACAACACTGGTTTGGCCACAATAAATTACTGTTTTTAATTGGTCCTACTGGACGCTTCTCCAGTTCAATAGAATAACAGTCCCGTGGCAGTAGGGACATGCAGAGGGCATGAAACATGGACACAGCACCAGCAACAGAAAACGGAGGTCTGTTAGGCAGCAGTCAACGAGTACATGTACTAGTAGTACACAACTGCCAATACCTACCTCAGTTCATTGAACGCAACACAGACCTTCTCCGTGGCAATGGGATTCACACCTGTGTGCAGAAACAGCAGGTAAGACACACGCACACAAGAACAATCACAACACACACACACACACACACCCCTGCAGATCAGTAACTTTGTAGAGACTGTACGATTCATTTGAGCGGGTCTTCGAATACTTCATTCAATCAAAGGGCCACAAAGAGGAATCATGACCAGAGGAAAGAGTGTGACCCAGGATAATAAGCTGTGGAATCATGAGATGAATCACTTACCGACGCCCAAATCTTCCAGCACTTGATCAATCACCTTGCTACGTCGTTGTGGGAAGCTGGTCGGATAGAGCTTGATCTGTGGCAAGGGCAAATAGCCAAAAGCATATGTGTCCAAATCTCTGCTTGAACATACCGCCGGTAGGTTGCAGGCTAACAGTATAAGTCATAGCAGCATAAGTCCAGTGCGAGTGACGTAAGGGACATGGCCATAACGTTACTCGACCAGCTCGCTTTCCGTGCTCACCTATTCCTGGTAAACAGTAGCATGCGACATGGATGTAAGCTGCTCAAATCCTAACATTCATCGGAATCATTTCCCTACATCAACTTTGGGCCTCATGGACAGGTATTCGAAACATGAACACACACACACACACACACACACACACACACACACACACACACACACACACACACACACACACACGTACTTGTACTTGCTCACTGCCAAAACTGGTCACGTGGGTCTCCCCGGGAGAGGGGAGAGAGACTCAAAAGGAATCTTGGAAAGATGACTCAATTGGCCATTGAACCACCCAACGGCCGACACCCCCTGAAATCCCCAAACTAGGGTGGACTTGAAATGATCCCACTTATGGGCTCACCACACCTCAGTAAGTGGGTGAGGACAAGGTGCAGAAAAGGATTGACGGCATCAGGGTATTACACACACGTACACACACACACACACACACACACTACTGCCAGTTTTATTATTATATCATCAGCTGGAGAACAACCTCACCAAGTCATAGTCCATACTCTAAAGAATACGTATACGAAAATGGAACAAATTGCTTGTACATGTATTTCGTAATATTCATGATCATAGAGCATTGGTTCTCTTTTACAGCTGACAGCTCACAGTCTGCATCTGACATCAGTGGCATCACACTGGTCTATGCATGCCTGGGTTGTTATGCAACAGGGCAGAGGTGGAAGGAAATCCCTTGAATGACAAAGCACGTGGAAGTGAATATTTGCTGCGGGACGAAAATACGTTGGGAGCGTTCAATGTTGTACCACCACTATTCTACCTCGTATCAACATTGGATTTGTTCAAGCAGGCAGCCGAGCATTTTCTGATGCGAATAGAACTTTCAATCTGGTTCAAGGAAAGCCGAGTGACGAGATTTGAGTGTCTTCAGCATGCACTGAACAGTCATGGTGGATACATCCGTCATACTGCTGTAAAAAAGGGTTTTTTAACCGACTAGAGTGAAACACTGCTGATAGAGCAGAAGCCAAGGATACTAGCATACCGTAAAGTCTTGTAAAAAGCCGCCCTCGAATAGAAGCCACAATTTTGGGCCCATCAAATCACACATAAGCCTGGTTTTAGTGTTGACATACATAGAAATACCTGTCTTGTATAGAAGCCTGCAAAATTTCACCAAGAAAGTCATAGAAGCCGCGGCTTTTATACAAGACTTTACGGTATACACGTAGCACAGGAATGACAACAATCTCCTGTGGGCTGAGAATCCTAAGATACTATTGCCAGCATGCAGAGCACTGGTGTTTAACACCAAGGAATGAATCTGACCTTGGAGCTGCGCAGTGAGACTCCGGCTGCTTTGTCGAAAGGCTTGAACACACCAACGGCACTGTTTGAAGCGTCGGCAGCACTGCCCTGCAAGAACACAACCGAGACAACGACAGACGACCCCGATTGCAGCACTTTTCATAAACCAGTACTACCTAGTACATACCACACACAGTCCTGTGCTCTTCACCATGGAACAATATTTAGGATACGTCTCAGCGTGATTGACCATCTGATCAAAACCACCAAGTACCAGCACACGCAAACCAACAACAAGTACTGGTACTTCCTCCGTTAACAAAAACTTCATGATGGATTTTTGAGGGGCTGATTTGGGCACAAACTGCCGTGAAATGAGTCGCAATCACTTTCTTGGCCTTCCCTGGCATGCCATGAAAGAGGTACGATGCAAGGCAAGCGACCTTTCACAACAAGCCGAGCGGAATCGATGGTTGCGCTGTGGCAACATAGGTGATGACAGTCATAGTGAGCGAAACTGATATACCACTTCTCCGAGGGATATATTGCGCTGCTTGGCCTCTCTACCACTTTAGCACTAAGTAAGTTGGAGAGCGATAGAGAGCGATAAAATGGAGCAGCGAGCCCACACAATGAGCGAGTGAACAAGGAGCTGCTCCGATCGCACGGCTCAATGAAACAAACTCTGAACTCAAGTTCTTGTTCAACCTGCGCAAAGCCCAGATTTGAATGATGATCACCATGCATTCTTTCAGGAAGTCTGCAGTCCGATGCGAGTCTCATGGCTAAAGAAAGTCGATTGGACTTGCTAGCCGCTGCCGTTCAGTGCTGGCAGGGGTATCCATTAGAGAAAATGGAATCAGTTTGGCTGTGCCTTTACTCCTTGTTTCGTGGAGTTCTGGATAGCGAAGATGAAACCAGGGAGTCGTAAAAATTAAAAATGTTTCACGACTCCCTGGTGGAAACGAGTAATCGCCATCGCGGCGGATCACGCAGCTTGAAAGCCAACTTACTTGAACGACGGCGACATCAAGGTCAGCGGAGTGTGATCAAAGAAGCCGAGGGAAGGCTGAAACGAGCGGAACAACGGCTCGAGAGAGATGACGACTCGCGTGCAGCAGATGACGACGCGCGTGCAGCAGATGACGACAGCGACGCAGGTCAAAAATTGGTCGAGCGAAAGCGACGCAAACTGAACTCTCTGCTCATTCCGCCAACAGTGTCTCTTGTAAAGACGCTGTACATAGCCTGAATCACCTTCGTCCAGTGATTGGCAGTCGATACAAACTGTTCTTGACCTGTTCTAAGCATTTTCATATCCATCAAAATCCATCACGAAGTTTTTGTTAACGGAGGAAGTACTAACATGCAGCTACATATGGGTGAAGGGGAGTGGCACACAAGCTCCAGCTCCAAAGCATATGCAACACAGATGTGTACAGTACCCGGGACTTGATAGGTTACAGTGTAACACTCTAAATCCTCCGAGCTGACACGCCTTCAAGATGTATTAACATAGCAAAACTACCTACACCCACCTCAATACCACTCTCAGCCCCAGCAGCAGCGGCAGCAGCAGCAAGAAAACAACACAAACCTTTTGTTTTCCAGCACCAGGAGCGGGAACGTGCGAGCCCTTCTTTTTGCTCTTCTTCTTCTCTGACTTCCTGTGTGGATATTCGTAGTAGAGAAGGAAAAATGATAAGCACGGTTAAAGGAAGCCTATCGACCAACTTGAAGACCAACTCTCCCATGAAAGTAAATATACAGATGCAGCATTGCAGCCATGCAGTAAGAGGATGGGGACATTTGGAATAGTAGTACATTGTTCAAACGGAATTAAATCGAGGAACAAAGCTGATGATCCCATACAAACGCATGCACTGGCTACTCGTTCTACGAAGAACAAACCAGCAGAAGCATTTTCTCGGCAACTTGTGTTACTCATTCACTACACAGTACAGCATAATTATGAAGGTTAGTGAAGAAAGGAAGGTTGAAGACTGAGTGTACAATAAGCGCTAGCAACACTACCAGGTAGCGACCAGCAGACTTGAAGTACTAGGATGCAAAAACTCTCTCACCGTTCGGAAACTTCTGCAGCTGCCATCAGCTTGTGAAGATCCATCTGCTTGCGCTCGCGCTCCTTTCTTCGAGCATCGATCTTGCGCAGTTCAGCCAGCAGTGATAGCTCCTCTTGGACCTTGGCGTGCAATGAGCGAGGGTAAAGCAATTGACAACAGAACAGGAAATAGATATATGTTTTAAAGCACACCACCCATGTGAGGGTAAGTCAGACTAACCGAGAGACAATTGCACTGGAAGAGTGGAAGACAATACCAATAAATATCAAATAAATATAATCCTACTTCAAATACATTGCAATGTGCGGCAACTCCTAGTAACCAGCAAAAAGATTTGTTCTGAAACAATGCTAACTGTTGACATACACACACAGGCAAGCCACCGTATTATCATCATCAGAAAAAGAAGTACACACACACGGCAATCAGCGATTACCTGCTCCTTAGTCCGAGAATACAGCTTCTCAAGTTGCTGCTTTCTGAGGGTTTCATGTTGCGCATCATACGCACAGACTAACGGAGCGCCAGTTGCAGAAGTTGAGCTCCGTGCCTTCACAAAGACAAAACAATATACTGTAAGACATGTATATATAACGAGGAAGCAAATCTAACGTTTTAACGGATGACATTTCTTCGTTATAATAAGATCCGTTGAGGCCGTACTGCTTCATATATGCTGTGTGTGGATATGGCAGAATACTGCAAGATCGTTAACATATCTTCTCGTTAACCTATGAATTTTGGACAATCGTTAAATTTGCGACTCGTTATAATAACATGTCTTACAGTAGCAACCAAATATTAGCGTGGTAAGAGAGATGTAATAGGACATGAAAGGCATTGACTTCAAGTTCTAGGTCCTCAGGTGAAGCAGCATGCTGTAAATCTCCTGAACGGCAACAGCAGCCATGTCGCCATGGTTATTTGAATGCAAGGATTACATACTGTAGAGTAGGCCCAGACAGATTCTGCTCCACTCACCTCGATATTTTGCCGCAAAATGTTGCTGCGAAATCTTCGATATTTTGCCGAGCCTTGCACAAGAAACTCGATATTTTGCTCCATTTTGCTCCGGAATAACGTGTATTTTATCCTTCCCGTACAATCTCGTACAACGTTTCATAAAAGTCGCAGGGTCGGTTTCTCAACACAGGTTTCCAGGCACGTGTCCCTGAGTTCTTCCAAAATCATGTCGATCCACAGTGAATCCCAGTGATATTTCGGTGACATGAGTCACATGATCTCGTCCTGGGCAGTGTGTCCTGCTGAACGAGTAAGAAACAAGGAAATCCAAGTATCAGGCATCGATTTTACCCAACATCTCGATATTTTGCTCCGATTTTGCCGGCAATTTCCGCTCTTTAAATTCTTCGATATTTTGCCGAAAGAATAGCCGGTAGGATCTGTCTAGGCCTACTAGTAATCATAACACACGCGGGCACGTGCAACGACTCACAGCTTCAATCTTGTTGCACACATCATAGTATCGTTCCTTTATATCCTCCACTGACCGTTGCTGTATATTCAAGAGGGGAAGAGAGAGAGGAAGACAGAGAGAGAGAGAGAGAGAGAGAGAGAGAGAGAGAGAGAGAGAGAGAGAGAGAGAGAGAGAGAGAGAGAGAGAGAGAAACGAGAGAAAGTTCTTATGAGAGGGAGGTGGGACGGGTGTATACTGCACTGCCATATATGACACACTTCTCACGCACACACGCGCGCGCGCGCGCGGGCACGCACGCACTCACACCTACACTGTACAAACATACATGGACGAATTCTCAAGTTACACATGCCAGTGGCAGTAGCTCCCGCTCCTTCCATCATAGTTTTCTCACCGTGTATTTGTCATGATCAAATCGATCATGAACAACGAAGAACCGCAGGTCAAATCGTCTGTAGCAACAACACACAAAACACACATACCATCCTGGGTGGAACATTGTACGGTCAGACGTCTTCCCTGAAACGCATCATAAAGTTATTTAGATGCACCCAAAGAGAAGAGAACTGGCAGGCCCAGAAGCTACAGTACGTCACAGCTGGCCACACACCTGCAAAGGTCGAAGAGATGATCAGTCTCTTCACGGTTCCAAGACGGTTCCGACTGCTGGTCCTTCTCCAAGTGTTGCTGCAAACAATAGAACAGAAAAAAATTACATAGAGTATACAGTAAAACAAGGTAATGTTGGCGGGGGATATTGCGTTCCAGAATATGAGACCTGCAGGTATTTGAGCTGCTATAATATTATTATTCCCGTAGCTATGCAGAAGACGTTACTTCAGTAACGTCTGGCGCTAGCCAGGGTCCACACAGCTTTAATTTGGTGTTTGTGTCACGCCTGGCGCTATGCCGTATCTGTCCCGTACCGTACCGTACCATCAAACACAGCTGGCCACATACAGCTGGCCGCAATATTCAAATAGGGCTTTCAAACGCAAGATCATAACGTGAAGCAACTTGGAAGAATGAGTATGAATGCGAAGTGTATGGTAGAATGCATGTAGGGCGATAGTGCGAGGTCGAATCCCAGGTAATGCCTGGAAAAAATAGGAGAATTGAAAAATTTAGAACATCCCTTTTCTTTTTTTTGCCGTCATCAAGGCGGTAGACGGTATTACCCTCGACCGTACCTGTCCCGTACCTATCCCGTACTGTACCGTACAATCAAAGACGGCTGGCCACAATGCATATTCAAATAGGGCTTTCAAATACAAGATCATAACGTGAAGCAACTTGGAAGAATTAGTATGTATGCGAAGTGTATCGGGGGATGCATGCAGGGTGATAGTGCGGGTTCGAATCCCAGGTTATGTCTAAAAACAAAAAGTAGAAACTTATAAGAATTTATAACATCCCTATGCTTTTTCGTCTAGGTCATCAAGGCAAAAAAGCATAGCGTAGGGCCCTGAGCTTCCAAGCTCTCTCGTTTATTGTGATAGAAGTTTGAATGACGTTCAGATCAATACTGCTACATGTACTTGGAAGTCTGTGAGGTTCAAAATTTGCAATTCAACACACCTCAAAATAGGTTGCAAATAGTGTCCATCCTACAGAATAGAAGCGACTACACAAAGTCACAACAGCATTCACCAGCAGGACTACATGCACTCAATTTCGAAAGGTAACAAGTAAACCACAGGCAGGCTAGTAGCAGAGAATGAGTGAGCCTACCTCATACTCAACATCCGAGTACTTGATAATCTCTAGCGGCTGTACGAGCAAAACAAGAGGCGTGGAAAATAGGGAGAGAAACGCTGTGTATTATTAAAGAGTGAGTCAGAAAAATAATCTTCCACGTCACACGCCATCTACGTTTTGGCAATGACAGAGATACGAAATTCAGCTGCAGTGCACCAATGCAGCTCAGGCACATGAACAACCCACATGCAGTTATTTCACGCACAGTGGCCTTTGTAGGAGCTACTTCTTCGGAGTAACACATAGCAGTCACATACTACATGTACATGCAAGCCCATCAGACAATTCACTCACCTTGTCAAAGCGAGAGAACGCATACTCCTTCCCCTCGTCCTCAGCCCGACGCCAGTGGTTCAGCACCAGGCCATCCTACATGAAAAAGAGAAGAAGAAAAGAAGACAAAGAAAACAATGGAACACAGAATGTTTTTAAACTACCACTTAGTAAAGCGCTTTACGCAAGCCGTTAGCATGTAGCATGTACTGATCAACATTTCTCTCAATAAAAACGAAGGTGTTCTACTCAACTCAAATCAAGACTTACGGCATACCAACTGCAGATCTCAATACAATGAATACAATGCATATGTACATGTGTATCAATGTGAATGATCTGAAGGGTGTGCACAGGCTAGTCCTAGGGCAGAGGATGGAGGACAACCCATAGCAAAACAGCTGATCACTTACTTTTCACGGGCGAGCAGCGACAAATAAGCATGCTGCTGGACTATAAACGCTAGAAAAGGTGTGCACGTAGTCATACCATGACAAAAGAACAACTACTTTACAGAGGTCTAGCCAGGATTTTATGCCAGCCGGCCAACGTTCTAGTTAAAATGCATCCTTCTGGGGGCTGCGCCCCCAGACCCCCGCCATCAGTCACGGATCCACACAGACACACACACACACCACTACAAATCTTTCATTGCAGCTTGCATCTCCTTTCGCTTCGTCCAATTATGGGCATTCATCAGGCAGTTGTGAACGTGAATGTGATTATAGGTAAATTAACAAAATATGAAAAAGGAAGCAAACAGCTACATGAGCATGGATCATGTGTTCACCAACGTCATGTCTGCATGCAGTGTACATTGGTCATCTGACAAGACCCAGCCTAGCCACAGCCATGTACACCACCAGAAGCAGCGAACCATGACCCAACCTGTGTAGTGTTACATTTTACTGACGTACTCAAGTGCATACTCAAGTGTATTTGAGCTTGAGTGAAGAGCTAGCACTGAGCCTGAGTAGCCAGTGCTACGTACTGTACTGTACATACCTACGCCTAGGATATGGGGCACTACAGTCTACATGGGAGTGACTGCAGCGGGCCAAAATTACCCTTGGAGCTGTCTCAGCTGGCAGGTCGCCCTCCCAGCCGGCATTCTGCCACCGCCGGCTGAGCCGGCTTTGGCTAGATCACTGCTTTATGGATTTAAACGTCGTTTTCTTGTGACTTTCATCACTGCTGGACTACATGTATACCAGACTACACTTTAAAGACTGACAGCCATGCACAGCGCTAGCGTACCGATCGAGCAGGGTTCTTGAACGGCATCCATGTCCACTTGCGCACGCTGGCTCGCCCTAGCTTGGCCTTGGCCGCCTTGTAACCATGCGTAGTGTCACTTGACACAACTTGTGGCGGGATTCTGCACAGGGTCAACACATGTACATAGTCCAGATGAAAGAAGCGCACCACTGAAGGGCAACCCAGCAAGGCACAGCGACGTGCTCTATCATACTAGACTCCAGTCAGCGACAAGTTTTAAAGTGAGAAAGCCACTGGTAGAAAGCAAACCATTCCCTTGCACTCCTTACAACGTTAGTGGCAGTGCTAGAAAGACCAGCCCTGACTTGTGATTTTTTGTTCCCAAAACGGCATAGATTAGTGTTCGCTAACCCAGAAGACTAAATGCCAATACAAACCAAACTATAATTAATGAGGGTTTGACTATTACACCCCAGCCACTTGGTCACAACTACAGTAAAATCCCAGAATAAAATATTTCAATTTTCAGGATGGATCTAAATAGACATGACTCGTGTCTTCTGCTGTACTGTTGTTAGGTAACTAGAACATCGGGATAATTAGTCGACTCCTGATATAACGAACACCATTGTGAAGGAGAATTAGTTCTTTATAGCCAAAGTTCGTTATAACAGAAAAGCACTTACACTATACAAGCAGCAAGTCATGACTGGCAAGTGGCCCATAACAGTAGGAGTGTACTTGGTTTACATGCGGCCCTACAAGATTTGGTTCGTTATAAACGAAACTGTTCGCTATAAAGGGTCCATTTTGCATGGGTTCAAACAGGGACATGGACAAGGGTTCGCTATATCACGAAATTCGTTATCACCGAGTTCGTTATATTATAAGTGGAGTCGATTGTAATCATAATTTAAAGCTTCGTTCTGGATTTCTAGAACATTACTGCGATACAAGTGGAAAATTTCAGTCTACAGAGGACATGATTGTTACCATATTCTTGGCTTTGATGGGCCACGGATTGGACAGGGCGTGCTAATGTAACACACACTGATTCAAATGAGGAGGGACTCTCGTCTACATGGCAGGTTCAATGCAATGTAATACTTCTGAAGTGCAATGCCCACGTGTTGTTGTTGAAGTATATTTTAACAAACCAACTTACGTGTTGTCACTACATAACAGGGCGTACACCTCTCTGGACATGCCCTCGGGCCTCTTGAACGGAGCCTCGGGCTGCTTCTTAGTCTTTTTCTACATAACACAATATAGAGGTGAAGGCATAATGGCATGAAAGACAACTGATCAACTCATTGTACACTCATCCACTCCCATAGAGATATTTACACCCACCCAAGCATAACAAATACTGAACATACACCAGTGCTGGTACGTGAAATTCAACAACTGGTGCACTTTCTGCATGTGGTTTAAAGCAGACCTTTGCCACCCTGCAGCTGAACAACTCCACTCAGTTCACACGTCCACCATGCAAGTGTAAGTTGCAGCATAGAGCTGAAGTGAGTGGGCGGATTTCATGGGCCAGTACTGCACTGCAGTTGCAGTAGCATCGGGATTCGAAGAACGTGTATTGAAAGAACATCTAGGCTTGGATTGTTGCTCAGGGAAAGACAGAGAGAGAGACAGAGAGAGACAGAGACAGAGAGAGAGAGAGAGAGAGAGAGAGAGAGAGAGAGAGAGAGAGAGAGAGAGAGAGAGAGAGAGAGAGAGAGAGAGAGAGAGAGAGAGAGAGAGAGAGAGAGAGAGAGAGAGAGAGAGAGAGAGAGAGAGAGAGAGAGAGAGAGAGAGAGAGAGAGAGAGAGAGAGAGAGAGAAAGTGCGATCGAGAGAAAGTGTGATCAAGAGAGAGAAAGAAAGACGGGGGGGGGGGGGGGCGGGGGAGGATTACTGCTCAGATGTAAATACAAAACAAACAAAAAGCCAGACCTGTCTATTGCATTATCTTACAATCCCAACGTTACTGTATTAAATGTTGCTGGAATTGCACCAATCAACACCATTATTTCAGCTCGATATGGCAACACACAGGTTGTTGAAGTGGCTATTTCTCACCATTAAATCCTTATACCTTTCGTTTTCCGCACCAATCGACCACGTGCACAATGTCATTGTGACGTCCTCTGTACACATTTTCTGGGTGAAAGGAGTACATGTACCTCCAAGAGACTTTACAGATCAAAAAACCAGGTGTACATGTGTCATCGCGTACTAAGCGTAGTAGGTTACCTGTGCTACCCGTAATGAGAGCGGGTAGTCGGGTAGCAGTTTGCGCCTGAGAACTCGATCGGGTAGTTGGAGTACAGAGTTTTCGCAAAACCCCTACCCGTTGCAGCCCTACTTAAAAACAGTGCAAGCACCCATTTTGTCATTCAAGTTAATGGTGTGTACGCACTGTACACACACAAGTGTCGGACATGAAGTTGAGCGGCATCCTAGTGCTTCTTTCACCTCCATGCGTCCATTCCTGTCCTAATTGAATGTGACCTGTGCTTCGCCTGTTCACCAGCGATTCAAAAAATTTTCGCACATGATCCCAAAAAGTGACCGTTGGTCTGTCCTTGAAAAGCTCTATAGCCAAGGTTGGTCATCTTTTTCATGTGCATTGTGTACTACAGTCTAACTATAGTCTATAAACAGTTGAGCCACTGCATACACACAGACACAGACACGCACATCTGCAAACATACTTTGCTTGCTGAGAGGATGGCATCTTTAGATGGAATGGACGCTGCAGACTGCTCTGGACGCGTGTCTCCGAGAATATCTTGTACATCGTTTTGCCCGCTCATGGTGAGCTAGCCAAATAGTGCTGCCTTCAGTTCAACCGATGACTGGATCTCTCTTGTTCCGACCAAATAAAAGTGAATGTGTTTACTAATTCACATCCTGAGCATGGTTCCAGGCTTTCCACATTTCGTGGAAATAATTAGTTCAAGCTTCGGCGATGCAGGAACGCAGGCACAAACTACTTGTGAGTTTCTGCTACATCTGTACCATAACGTATTGCTCCATGCATGCAAGAGCGTGTACGTAGTGTGGACAAGTACTGAAAACTATTGTCTTTGTTTTTAATTATTTGAATGACTGCCGCGTAGCATTTTGAGAATACATGTATCGCCAAACCAAAGCCAGGCAAAAATTGTAGGCAAAGTAAAAAAAAGTGCAGTCAAGATTAAATTTTTGTTTTTATGCCGCGCGCGGCGCGCGCGGCAACACGTCCACGAAAAAGACGTTCAAATTGTGATGACGTATTTGCCTCGGGTATGCTGGAACAAGTGACGTGAAGTGACGCCATTTGTCTGTCTCCATAGAAATCTAGGGAAGCGCATGCGCACCAGTTTCAACTGTTTGGAGATCAAGGAGGAAGAAGAAACTTCTCCTAACCCAACCAGATCGTTGAAAGTTTGGATTTCGGGCGTTGATTCGCTTTCGCAGCAACTCTCAGACGAGTTGCTCTGCGTCAAGGCGGAAGAATGAACCCAGAATAGTATGTGAAACATGGATTTAGCACAGTTGCAGCCAGACCGTGGAACTTATGGAGCTATGTTCTACTATTCTTATCCTGCAGCGATTATCTCTTCAAGCTTTTGCTTATTGGAGACTCCGGTGTTGGAAAGTCATGTCTCCTCCTTAGATTTGCTGTGAGTGTGAAGATACGTTATGCACTTGGCCTCGTGCAGTAGATGAACAGTAGCTTGTTCCCTGTTTCTGCCTGTAGGACGACACATACACTGAAAGCTATATCAGCACGATCGGAGTTGATTTTGTAAGTATTATTCAAAACTGAGTTTGTAGATCGCTCACCCCATCTGCCCTGGTGGTCTGAGTATAGTTCGAGGCATCACGTCCACCTCGATTAATACGTTGGAGTTGATTGGGGGCCGTGTAACGTAACTGTTCCTCGTATCCGGGGAAATCTGTTGTCAACTAATAATAATTTTTGAGAACTGTTTTGAATACTTGCCAAGTATTTAGATAATGCTATGCAATATGTATGCCTTTGTGTTATTGTGCTACCGCCCAGCACTCTCACGCCTGTTAGTACGCACTGCATTGCAATGTAGCAATGCTGTCAGTACCATAATTACGGCTTGGCTCTGTTGCATTCAGCTCCTAGCACTAACAGCAATGAGTGAATTGAATCAGTGACACCTTGCCTTCAATGGTGCCATATCCTTATCTATTTCATGGTTGGGTGCACATAGATAAGTTTTTTCACTCTTCCCTCCATGTTCAGCGAATATATTATTGGTATTCTAGCTGGCTAGGTCTCTATGTATGTGGCACATACACTGTTCTGGATCATCGTCACGATACTGTTGTTGACTATCGCACTTGCGTGAATAGAGCCCAGTCTTGAATACAGAATAGTACTCTGTCTCTGAGAGCCAATGCACAAGTAGAGCCCTATCTTGAATAGTGTCCACCGCCGCTTGTAATCAGCCCATTTTCAAGCCTGGTGCTGTTTTGCTAATGTTCTAGACATTGCACTGATGGCTCATGATCAAAATGCAGTTCTTGGTGCTGTTTCTGTTCGAGTCGTGATAGGTTAGACTCCCTTCCTCATTTCTTTCTTCGTTTTATGCTGGATGACGTAGCTGTACCAGCATTGAAAAATAGTGCCCTCTCTTGAACAGAATGAAGCAATTCCACCTCCACCGCATGCGCTCTCTGGCCGACCTCATAAACCAGCAACAGGACTCCAAGTTGTAGATACTGACAAATAATATTTTTCCTCCATGCAGCGCTGTTTCGACCACTATAGGTCTCCTCGTTGAAGGTTGAGAATAATGAATGACTAGAATTAATTTGAAAGCACAGTTTTATACATAGAATGAGATGAAGAAGCGCGATGCCGCGCTTAGAGGTAACAGACGTGCTATGTGCTAACACACGGAGAAAGGTGCAAAATGATCTCTCTTGAACAGCGCCCATCTATGATGGACTTTGGAAAATAGTGCCCTGGGGGCACTAATCGCGCGAGTACAGTATGCACGTTGACACCATTGTCTCACTTTTCATTGAAGCCCAAACTGGACTATGTTTACTACCTTCTTGGAACGCAGTATATTGGCTCAAATTTGGCATGCTTGGAAGGTCCCGGAGTTTTTCGATGGAATTGTTCCTGTATGCCAGCAAAGCCCACAAACTTATCCTGTTTTCGTTGTATTGCCTGTGTTCCTTGTGTCTCGTATGCAGAAAATCCGAACTATCGAGCTTGACGGAAAGACGATCAAACTGCAAATCGTAAGTTGATGTTAGGACAGTTGTGGCTCTGAGAGATTGATATGTTATGATGGTCTCAGCCATGTTTCTCGGCGTAGTCGTGCCACCGTCTAGACATGCTGTGTGTGTATATTACAAAGTATGTTCAGTTGCCCTTGTTTTGAGCATGTACCTGGCTCATGAGCGCATCTGACAGAATGTGTTCCCTGGCCCATGGACAGAGGACATCCACGCTTGCAGATCTAGTACGGATATTCCATGTACTGTAAAACGGCTTCTTTTGGCAGGTAAAACCCTTACCCATTTATGAACTGGCTCGAATTTGCGATCAGCGTTTCACTCAAAAAAAAGAATCCATCCATATAATATTATGCTATGTAAAACGCAAACTTTCGATTTGCTAGTCTAAACTTTAGTGAATGCACCCTTTTAGCTAAGTAATTAGTTCGCTACAACTTCGCCACTGCCAAAATTAGCAATTTCACAGTATGAAATGGAAAGAGGTGGAGAATTGCGCATGTGTAGATGAAATGTGTACCAATGGTCGTATACTCATGGTCTCTGACATCGCCTGGATAGCCTTGATTTTATTGGAATATTTCATGTTCTCTGTGGGCTTGGATCTATATTGATATTATAATTGTTATACTCAATCTTGATGTATGTTATATTTCTACCTTGGATGGCACTTGCAGTGGGATACAGCTGGTCAAGAGCGATTCCGCACCATTACGTCAAGTTATTATCGTGGAGCACATGGAATTATTGTTGTCTACGATGTAACAGATCAGGTAAGCGAAGTACATCCTCACTTAATGAAGAAGGGGTTTATCTGTATTTCAGGAAGGGGAGAGAGGCATTACATTCGTGCCAGTGTGCCAAAACATGCAGTGTCCCTGTTCCTGTGTGTGTGCATATGTGGGAGCAGGTATTTCAAACCGGAGATGGTGTGCGCTAGCACCAACATCGTTAGCTCGCTTTCAAGAACCCTTTCACTGCTGTGGTATAGTGTCACCAGTCCACTGTAGACCAGCAAAATGGGTTGTTTTACTGAAAACACAAACTTCCCAAAAATTCAGAACACTTGCATTAATTGAAATGTTATGAGCTTGGCCTTCCTGGAAAACTAGTGCGACGAGAAAAACGATACGTCCAAGTACAAGTTACCGCAAGATCCGAAACCAGCGCTGGAGCCAAGCAAACTGTTTCAGAGTCGTGGCATGGCATAGTCTTGCAAGTGCAAGGGAACTGGGCTTTCGGTCGCATTCTTTTAGAACGTGTCCAGAACAAGGTTATGACTGGTGCTAATAGGCCATTCACACAACGTGTAAAGTCACTTTCATCGTACTGTTTCCAAGGACATTTACTCGTATACTGTAAACTTGGACACACACATGCAACTGATTTTTGAGCTTTGCCAGGGCCCTTGTGCTCACGCGTATACTTTGGACGCGGGCAAAGGTGTCGGTCGTTGAAAGTGCGCGCTGCAAATGTAGTGTGTGAACTATTATTTCGAAAGGGAAAATTCAAAATTACCCTTTTCACGGTCTAAGAATCCAGTCAAAATGAGGCTATTTACAGAATTCAACAATTTCGAACCTTGATTCATCCATAACTTCAGTTTCCCTTCGCGGATTTTCGTGCGGATTTTCGTAGTCTTGGGCTCTCTGGAAAGCTCTGGACACGGGCAACACGCCGAGCTACAATTCAACACCAAGTGTGCCGTAGATTAAGCGCTGCAGCGCAGCAAAATCGCCCCACTGCTTGACTCATGACGAGAAACAAGATTCAACAGCCATTTCCATCTCCTTGCTCACATCGAGCTCAATTTTTTTGTGATGAGTGCTGCGAGGTCATGCTCTCATTTGAACCCGTGTCTCTATGGCATCAGCCAGCTGCAAAGGGAAAATCCCGTCCTCTATACCCAGCTCGCCCACTCAAATCGCAAATGAGCTGTGACACAAATCGCGAGCTTCGTAGCATCGCAGCCGTTCTGTCTATCGCTTTGGCTTTAGTTGAAAAATCACCGGTGATCAATTTTCAAGTGTGAGACCGTGAAAGGGTTAAAAGAAAGGACCAATGTGTTACATGTTATCTGCTGTCTGTGTCCAACACTAACAGAACGCTTCGAGAACGCTTCTTGCCCGATAAACATTAGCCTCCCAAGTTGGGTGGTTGTTTCGCATTCTCGAAGTGAGCCTTGGCCGTCATGTGCCATGGTCATTCGTCTTCCGTCTCCATCCCGTCAAAGCTAACATTCTCAGGTTGCGTTTGGTTGGGCATTTTCAGAATTTAAATGACAACCATCCTGGAATGGGTAAGAATCACCTGACCAAACAAACGCACCAGAATCAACTAGGAATCGCTTGACATAACAAGTCCATGTCGTTGTGGAACGACGGCTCTCTTTTCTTTTACTCAATTGAGAGAGTCAACTGACTCAATGTACTTCTCAGTGCATGATTTGAGGCACTTGAACCTGCTGCTACATTGTTTGAATCATTTTTGATTCCGGAATGAGAATGCTCCTGTTAGGTGGAATGATCATTCTCCAAAAAGAATCATTCTCAGCGATTCCCATTCTGGAATGGGACCAACCTAACGGAATTTTTGGCCAAACACACAGGCAAGAATGATTCCCAGTTTTCCCATTGTAGAATGGGACCAAACTAACGCAACGTCAGTTTGCTGTGATGTGTAGCTAGTTTTCGTCTTGAGCGCGCTCACCTTCCCTTTGCTCATGTTAATTTTCATAGCTTAGAACTTTCCAAGTTGGATGGTTGGCTTGCATTCGAGACGTAATGGAGCTTAACATCAGGTTGTTGAATGTCATCAGTACAGTCAGACCTCGCTTATCCAGTCCTCTTTTATCCGGATCCCTCGCTATCCGGAAGAAAATAGCTGGTTACAGATTTACAGCATCCGTGGTGCACGCAACACAACCAGTGTTCGGTTATCCGGTTTCCTTGCCTATCCGGATATTCTTTGTGGAAAACGGATGTGTGCGGTTAAACGAGGTCTGACTGTATTTCACTAACTGTTGCACCTTCCGACTCCACAATATCTTGTTCATATGTATATACTGTTAGTGTTAGCCGCAAACTACGGAAAACATCAAGAGTATATAACCCCCCCCCAGTGTGTGCAACTCGGCATATGGTGTCTCCGACGGCGAAAACTCACATCACGTGTCTCAGATACGTTCGTACTACGTACCAACGAAGGATAGCGTCCGCCAACCCGAATATCTGCCTTGATCATGCTGGGGATTTGCGTACCCGCAGTGAGTTTCTGTCAGAGAGTGCTTTTTTATTGCTCCACTGCTCGCTAAAAACGGGCTGGAAACGTACAACTGCGACACTGCACCACGTGATGTGAGTTTTCCCCTTCGGCGTACCCCATAGAAAGGGTATCAGGAGTTGCACACTCTTGGAGGTTATATACTCAACGTGTAACATTTTGGTCCTTTCTTTTAATTTTAATCATTGGCTCTCAGTCCGGGAGAATTCAAAAATTAAAATTTCCCGGAATTTTCGGGAGTTTACTATGGATACACTGTAACGTTGACGCGTGCAGTTTTCTAAGCACCTTGTGAACTGTGTTTGCGCATCTTGCGAATTAGAAGACAGCTTGGCCGATTGGTGCATCATTCGATGTATTACTTCGTACTTATGGGTGTGTTTTTAGAGTCATTTGGTTCTCCTCAGCATCTAACAATGTCACTCTCTTTGTCATTGGTTGGTGTGTGTCTGTGCATAGGAATCATTTGCCAATGTAAAACAGTGGCTCCAAGAAATCGAGCGCTATGCCAGCGACAATGTCAACAAACTTCTCGTTGGAAATAAGAGTGATCTCACTACCAAGAAGGTCGTAGATTACACTACAGCGAAGGTATACCATTTTTTGGCTTTTCCTGTTTTCAATGTATGCTGTGTGTAGGGGGGGGATTATGGCAATACTGGACTGTCACCAAATGCATGAGCGATATATTGTACACGAGTGTCTAGATTCATGTGGCTTGTGACAGTGCTTGGCCATGATCAAGTGCACTGCAGCAGTGAACTTTGATGGTTGTGCCATATATTGGTACTGGTGTCTTCAGATTGCTCTGGGCTCAGCACTCTGTGTTAACCTTTTGAGCACGCGTGACGTTCTGACACGTCATGACCACTGCCACTGTGACCAGTCGGGGAGATGTCCTATCTAGGACATCGCACTCTGAATGAGTCTGATTGGTTACCTGTCCCAGAGTTGTCATGGAAGCGTCGGTCGCGCACACGCGATGAAAAGAAGTGCTGCGTGAGCATTTCTGAATGTATGTGGAGGATGCACGATCGTAATGGCGATGGATTTCTTTCCGAATTGGTCAAGTTTGAGGGAATAGGCGGAGAATATCAGACATCGGCGGGGATTGAGGTAGTGTATATTCGATTCTCCATCGAATACCCGACCGAATGGCCGTTTTCGTTTGGGGATTTCATGTGGGGTTTCTCGTAGCCACGCGGCGCTTCTTTGGAAACGATTGGTTCTAATTTTGAATATTTTGCCTTTGGAATGTTTCTTCACCATGTTCACGCCCCAAACCTGGTCATGCAGAGGAGGAAGACGAGCCAGCAGGCGCTAGGCGCGTAAATTACTGCCTGGAGGATATTATTTGGCCAAAGCTTGCTGTTGGCGTTTTTGATTTCTTGGATACGACAGCTCTTGGCTAAAACTGGACCTTGGACGGTCTTTCTTGGATATCAACCCAGGACGTGGTGGTCATGGACGTATCGCCATCGCTTTCAGCCAGATCCTTCTGCTGCCTGAAGCCAATGGCGAAAGTAAAAACTTTATCGCAGCAGCCGCTACTGCTCTGCTGAAAGTGTGAACACAAATTGCTTCGCCAATCCTCTTGTGCACGTGCAATTTTCAATGTGACCAAAACGATTCGCTTGCCAGTTCCTTTGTCCAGGCGTACTCCACAACGAGGAAAATAAAATTCGTGAATGTAAGAGGCAAGATACGAATCTCGACTCGCTTGAGGCAAGCCGCCAGGAGAACGACAACTGATGATTGCTTTTGAGACGAAAGGCCTTCGGTGCGTTTGTTTTGAGTGCGACATGTTCATCTTCCTCGGACGCGACACAAAGTTTTGAGTCACGTGTCACGATTACTATGGGAACAGCATAGTATGTATGCTGGGGCATGCTGGGTTCTGTGATGTCCTATCTAGGACATCACCAGGACTGGTGACATGCGTGACATTCTAGAACGTCACGAGTCAGTACGGAACTACATCGATTCCGCACTTCTTCCGTGACTCCTAGGATGTACGAGCACAGTAAAAAATGCGAGTCGCTCCGTAAGTTTGTACTGGAGTTACATGCGCGTGCAAACATTTCAAAATATCTAATTCGCGTATAACTACCTTTCTGAAAACGGTCATAACTTTCGTAATTTTTGTTGTATTTCCAAAACAAAAACAGTTCTGTGCTCAGGATACATGAAAGAATCGTTTGAAATCAAGTTCACATGGAGTGAATTTAACAAATTTACTGCGTGGCAGAGGTTTTCAATGGGCCCGGGCTCAAAAGGTTAATTTAAATGTGGTACAGTGCTTGTCTGAACGATAGTGCGCTTTTTACTGCAGTAAGTGATGTGTTTCAGCACATAACCTAGGCAGTGGACTGAGGTTTTTCTATGTCTAGCCAAGACTTTCTGTCCCTTGATGTGTAACCTTTTCATGCTGTTATGGTTGATGGGATTGGACAATCAACCCAGGAAGTAGCAAAAAAAGTGAAGGAACCCATGATTTTGGCAATCACATTAATTGCTGCAAGGATTTACGTACCGGTACTCGTATACTTGTTAGAGAACACTCTCTCAAATTGGTTTCCACTTTGTTTGCCTTTCTTCCCAACGCAAAGTGGGCCAGGTCTAATGGTGCTGGGACCTGGCTGGATGGTGGTTGTACATTGGAAAGCAGGAGGCAGCCCTCTGGATACAATGCTCATTCTGCTGTTTTGTTGTTCGTGTTGCTGTAGGAGTATGGAGATCAGCTTGGAATCCCGTTCTTGGAGACCAGTGCAAAGAATGCGACAAATGTAGAGCAGGCATTCATGACGATGGCAGCAGAGATCAAGAACCGAATGGGCCCCAGCGCATTACCAGGCTCTGCCCATGGTGGTGGTAAGGTTGTAGACCCTGGCAAGCCGATAGACAATTCTAAAAGTGGCGGCTGCTGTTAACCTTATTGCATGCATAGTAGCTGGCTGGTTGCAGCTTGAATTTCTCTTTTTACAGTGCGTTGAACTAGTCCCGGTTTCTTCGATTGTGGTCAAAAACACAGCACCACCACTCCAGGCGATAACTTTAAATATGCGCGCCTATCTATCTTCATTTCACCAAAAATTTCTTCGCTTATCTGTTGAAACGCTTCAACAGCTGTGTCCGCCCACTTGTTCATTATGTTTTTGAGCTGGGGTGAGCTCTTCGCTCTCGTCTCCGATGAAAAATAAATCCTTAGCGCATTAAACTTTACCAGGACTTTTGTACAGAACCTCTCTTTATACGCGCTTTGTGTCAGATGCTTAGCGTTCATACTCACAAGGCCCACTATCTTTCCTGATTCTGATATGATAGCTATGTTCCTCTTTCCCCCCTTTTGTTACTGTCTCTTTTCTTTCCCTGTTGCACATTTGAATTTTGTACATGAGCTATCAGCTGGTCTTTGCCCATGGCAGCATGATGCATCTATGATGACAATGATGACTAAAATGACTCTCTGATCTGCTGGTTGTGTGTATGTGTGTTTGTGTTTGCGTGTACCATACGGTGCAGTGGTATATGTAGTTGATTTCCTATCGAGAGGTTGCAGGTTCAATTCCCAACGATTGTGGTCACACTCTTTCTCAGTCTCCTCCTGACTTTTCTTTCATTCTCGTGGGTGATTACCAACAACCAGTCCATGCCGTAGTATATGCGGGAAAACACTTCAAACGGCCGTGCGGTGTACCAGGCTGAATAGTGACTATCGATTCGTATGCAGGTGCTGAATGGTGCAATCCCAGCACAAGCTGCTATGGCTTCGGCTGTAGCATTGCTATCATCGCCTTCGACGATGGGCGTCAAAAGGTCAATGCTGTGGGATGCATAGTATTCCCTATTCTGCCAGTACTCCAGCAAGAGTACTTCTTCAAAATAGGGTGTGCAAACTTGTATTATTTGCACTCTTTGGCGTAACTCACACGATCACTTAGCCTATGTACGTTTCATCACAATGTTTCCGCCAATACCGGTATGCTGTATAAATTATTGACATCGTTGTGCTTCGTCACACTATCACCATGACTGTACTGATTTGAGAAGAAATGGTACGAAAGGTCTCGTCAGATTCAACTGGCTTCAACTGCGCACTCATAATCTATACACACATCAACTTCAAGGCAAAGTAGATATAAGTGTTCTAAGAACGTTTTCTCGTGATTGTCGCCAGTTGGAACAACATCACTGCATGACTATTACCGCCGAAGTCGCAACTTCTAAGTTCGTATCACTGCATTGGTACATGTATATTATAGAGAGAAAGTGCCCAATGCTGAAACAAGAAAAAAAAGTACAGTGTGGAAACAAACCAAGTTGGTACTTGTACTGAGGACAAAAGTGTGAAATGTAGAACATGAAAAGTGTTTATAAATAAATTACTTTGAAACAGGAGTAAACAACAACATGGACTTGTGAGAATTAAGGAAAGCGTGTGAGTGTGGTGACAGAGTCTTTTTGTTTCAGCATAGGTCTGGTTGTTGGTCGTGGATGAACACAGCAAACACGGCTTCTAACACCTTCAATCGAGAGAAATTGTGTTACACTTTCTCTCTCAGATGATACAGTATCCAGGGGCGTCGGACACGGTACGGTCACTACGGTATTGACCGTACCACTTTTTGCCCCCAGGTACCTTGTAAATCAATAAAATGCACTGATCTGGGATCTAATTTTCCAAAAATTTCTGCTCAACCACCCCTCCTCCACGAGCAAATTGTACTTCAGATGGCTGACCGTACCACACTAAAATACCTTCCGACACCCCTGATACAGGTACGAGGTGATTAGCGAAAATTTTACATTGGATATTTTTTTACATTTTCTGTAAACTAAATTTCGTTGTCGTCGAGACATCTCCTTTAGGAAGTAATCTTTGACATTCGATTATATATTCCGTTAGTATTATCAGTGTAGTTCGTGTTGCAGCCGAAGTTTTTGTTTCTGCGACTCCGCCATGCCGTGACGAGGCCTCAGTATTTCGTTGTGCGTAGTAAATTGCTATAACAATAGTGTAAACCAGCATGATATGGAAGAAACCAGGTCGCGTATGCAGCTTAGGTCAGCAACCGCTGTTGCTGATGGCATCACTGATGGCTTTTCCAATGAAAACTCGCCTTTTGTAGAGCGCTCGACGGCCACAGGCCCCACACAGACGCCAAACCAAAACGGGCAGAAAAGAGCATAGTTGCTGTTGTTGACTTAGACTCCAGACATCCGAGCCAATGCGACCAATGCTGTTCTATTGGAGGCTCTGCGCGTCCAGCTGAATGTAACCAATGCCAGTGAATCTGAGACCAAGCTCCAAGAGTTAGGCCAAGTAAAAAAAAAAGCTAGATGATCGTCCCCGTCCGCCCCAGTTTTTGTCAGCGCCCCAAGAAATATTTTATTTTTTAAATCGTGAGTTTTTGCCGAAATCGTTGGTTTTTTACCGATCGCGGATGCAGGAAACATGTGCACGCTTTGTTTAAAGGGGAAGTATACCCTAAAATCAAATTTTCACCAGTTGTAGTCTTCGGGGTGCTGAGTCGAATGGTCTTGGTCCGAGGAAGCTGAGACGCTCCCTTCCTACTTGAATCCCAATCGAACTCGCGCACTTCCACCGAAACTGGGTGACTGCGCCCTACTAGATGGGGATTTGTATGCAAAATGTCACTAAAAGCGCCATTTCGTTCTTATAAAAGCACGGATGACCGCGATTGGCCCATATGTTGTAGTCTTTTGGACGCTGAGTCGACTGGTTTTGGTTCGAAAAGGCTGCGATGCAGCGTTCCTCCTTTATTCCCAATCGAACATGGTTGAACAAGCGGTCACGTGCTCCTGCGTACACCAGTCAGCTGGTCACCGTGCCTGCAGGGTACAACTTACTAGCCTGTTTGACCTTTTTTGGGTGCAGTCCTGTCACTCGAGTTGAACTCGAGTTGAACCTTGGTGTGAAAGTTCTCGCCTGCTGGCGCGGTGACCAGGTGATTTGGGCACCCAGGAGCACGTGACCGCTTGTTCAACCATGTTCGATTGGGAATAAAGGAGGAACGCTGCATCGCAGCCTTTTCGGACCAAAACCAGTCGACTCAGCGTCCAAAAGACTACAACATATGGGCCAATCGCGGTCATCCGTGCTTTTATAAGAACGAAATGGCGCTTTTAGTGACATTTTGCATACAAATCCCCATCTAGTAGGGCGCAGTCACCCAGTTTCGGTGGAAGTGCGCGAGTTCGATTGGGATTCAAGTAGGAAGGGAGCGTCGCAGCTTTCTCGGACCAAGACCATTCGACTCAGCACCCAGAAGACTACAACTGGTGAAAATTTGATTTTAGGGTATACTTCCCCTTTAATACTTTCTTTACTATATGGACCACATACTACTAGTATATCACAACGTCAGTATCGATCTGCTGAAGAAAGAAAAAGAAAAAAAGAAAAAAAAAGAAAAAAAGAGAAAAAAAACCTTGATGTTGTTGTGTACACTGTGCGCATGAGAGGGTAAAAAGTAAAAAAATAAAAATAAAATCCTCCCGCCCTCCCCGATTTTTCCGAAAAAAAGGACGATCATCTAGTAATTTTTTTTACTCGGCCTTAGCATCATTGTTTTACGATGTCCCAGCTGGAGATGCTAGCCTTGCCACCAGCCACTTGACTGCCGCCAGTACAGTTGCAAGCGGACCTGTTTCTGCTACGTCTTCTTTATCTTCCGACACGTTCGCCGCAGAGGATATACCGTATAATGCTTCCCTTGCTTCTAGCTGCGATTCTTCCGTCCACATGCACAGTCGGGCAGCCCTGAGCACAGCGTCCTTCAGTAGTGCTTCTCTCCGTTGAGTGTTGCGCGAATCAATGGTGCAAGCACTTGTCTAACTCAGTGATGGCTTTCTGCTTTGCATTCAGTATGTGGTCAGAGTCTGCTAATGCTCGGATGTTACTTGCCTGATGTCAGTTTATTACTTTTTGTCCTAGCACCAGTTTGGCATTCTTTATTTTGAAGTTTAATGGCGGTGATTTGCTCCTGCTGTGAGTGTGGTGTGTGGGTCAATTTTCAAGATGGCACTTGAAAGTGCAAGAATTTGTGTTCTGTTTTGACTCTATTCGTGTTATTTGTGTAGTGGCGTACCTATACATGGGTGTGTTGGTTTCCATATAGCCTTGTTGTGGAATGTTACCTGTGGTTTACACACATGTAAAAGAATATACAAGTATTTTCAGGACTGAAAAAACGACCTATTTTGGGTCACCTTGGAAAGTCTACATTGCTGTTAGGGAAGTTGAACTGTGATGGCATGACACGAGTCATAGATTATTCTACCATGTAAACTACTATAAGTCATGAAAAAAGGGCATTGGCTATGAATGCAGGGCGAGTTTACAAACATGTAAAATTTTTGCTAATCACCTCGTACTCTGTTATTTTCCCTATGTACCAATGCAGTGATGGTATTCCAACTGATGACAACCATGAGAAAATGTTCTTGGAACACTTATCCACCTACTTTCCCTTGATGTGTGTGTGTGTGTGTGTGTGTGTGTGTGTGTGTGTGTGTGTGTGTGTGTGTGTGTTCCTGAGGACATTGGCGCTCTCCTGCGTGAGTACCGTCTGCGTTGGCTGGGTCATGTTGCCCGTATGGACGCGGCCCGGATTCCTCAACAAGTGTTGTTTGGTGAGCTCGAAGCAACCAGACCACGGCATGGGCCAAAGAAGCGTTGGCGAGACACGATTGTCGGTGATCTGCGCTCGCTGGATATTCCGGAGTCCGAGTGGTATCGGCTCGCACAAGATCGCCCGGAATGGCGCAGGCGGGTTCATCAACATCGTCTTCCTCCCCCGGCACCGAAGGACTTTCATTGCGCATGCGGCAGAGCGTTTAGGAGAGGTGGCGATTTGAAGCGTCACATCAAGTACTGCCCAACTCAGTAGCCTATCATCTCCACTGGAGATGGGGCGTCAAAGGTCAAAAGGTGTGTGTGTGTGTGTGTGTGTGTGTGTGTGTGTGTGTGTGTGTGTGTGTGTGTGTGCTGCGTCTGTCTTGGGCTTCTCCCGACGTCGCCAACCAGACTGGTTTCGGGAGGCAGAGTCAGCCATCCAGCCATTGCTAGATGAACGGAATCGGTGCTATACCGACTGGCTATGTAGTGGCCAGAGCCGCGACTGCTCGCACTACACAGCGTTTAAGGTGGCTAGATCCAGGGCGCGTGCTTCCATATCCTCGGCTAGGGTAGACTGGATAAAGGCAAAGGCACAGGCGGCCACAGAGTCGAGATTCAATGGAGCGGTCGTATGGAAGTGCATCCATGACCTCCAGTCTTGTACCCGGGGCCTTGCCCCCTGTGCGCACTTCCGCCGTGCTGGATGAGAACGGTAACATCTGTAGTTCACCAGAGGAGCAGAGCCACCGGTGGGGAAGACACTTTGACGGTGTCCTCGACGTGGCAAGTGCATGGAATCGCAATGCCCTGGACGACATCCCACAGCGACAGGAGGCTGATCATCTTGCTGAGGCGCCGACTCTCCGTGAAGTCAGCCGCGCTATCTCCCGCCTACAGAACGGCAAGTCCGCTGGAGCCTCTGGCATCCTCCCTGAGATGCTGAAGAGGGGTGGCCCTGACCTCACCGCCAAGCTTGTGGAGCTGTTTGGCGATGTGTAGCGTGCTGGGGTGGTCCCGCAGGAGTGGGTGGACGCCACGTTGGTCCCCATCCCAAAGAAAGGGGATTTATCTCGCTGTGATAATTGGCGGGGTATCTCACTGCTGGATGTTATGGGCAAGGTTCTGGCGAGCGTCATCCAGACTCGTCTCCAGTCCGTGGCTGCGGATTTTCTCCCAGAGTCTCAGTGTGGCTTCAGGCGTGGCCGATCTTGTACAGATATGGTTTTCAGTGTTCGGCAGTTCCTCGAGAAGACCATTGAGCACGACTGCAAAGGCTTCTTTGTATTTATAGACCTCAAGAAAGCCTATGATTCCGTGCCTCGGGATTGCCTGTGGGAAGTCTTATCCTGAGCGGGTATCCCTGCTCCCATGCTTGCCGTGATCCGTTCCTTTCACACTGGCATGTCGGCGGTGGTTAGAGAACACGACAACTGACCCTATCCGCGTCACGAATGGTCTCCGCCAGGGGTGCACCATGGCACCTGTGCTGTTTAACATCTTCATGTGGGCGGTGGTGACTGTGTGGCAGCGATGAGTCCGAGATGTACCCGGTGTTGGTTTTGAGTTCCGGCATTGTGATGGCGACAATAACCTTTACCGCAAGCCTACCAGGACGGATCCGGTTGCCATTGCCACTGAGTCACAGTTTGCAGACGACTCAGCACTTTTGGCGACGATTCGTGCAGGGGCGGAGACGGCACTTGCAGTGTTTGACACGACCGCAGCTGAGTTTGGGCTTAAAGTTAGCGCTACCAAGACACAGTTCTTGGTTGCAGGTAGGGATGTTTCGCCTGGGGACTGCGCTCCAATCGAGCTAGCTGGCACGGTCATCGAGTGTGTTTCGGAGTTCCGGTATCTGGGATCTCTCATCCATCGCGGTGGCCGGTCGACACAGGACATCACTGCTCGGATTGTGCATGCCTCTCGTGCTTGTGGCGCCTTGCAAGGAACCATCTTCAGCAATCCTGACCTTGATTTGCATATCAAGAGGTGTGTGTTTAATGCATGTATGCTGTCGCTCCTCCTCTATGGGTCAGAGTGTTGGACACCATTGCAACACGATCTCCGACGTTTGTCAGTCTTTCATATGCGGTGCATCCGTTCCATCTTGGGTGTGTCCCGCAGAGATTGCTGGAATAATCACACGACCAACGCCCAACTGTTGGAGATGTGGGGTGACTCTGATACCATCTGCGTGAAGGTCGCACAGCGTCGCCTAGAGTGGCTGGGCCATGTTGCGCGAATGGACAGTAGCCGGATGCCGAGACAGATCCTGTTTGGCTCACTTCCCACACGCCGCCCAGCACATGGCCCTCGCAAGCGCTGGAAGGATTGCGTAGTCTCCGACCTAAGAGTTCGTGGCCTCACCAAGGAATGGTACCCATCGCCTGTGAGTCCCGCGCTGACTGGCGGACTATGTACGCCGAGCCTGTGGAGAATGTGCCTCAGCCTGACCCAGTGGTATGTGCGGATTGCAATCGGTCATTCTCGCGCCCTGGAGATCGTGCTCGCCACAAATGTGTGGTTAAGCGGGCAAAGCCGATTGCTGAGCAGCGAGGGGCTTGCCACTGTGGAGATTGTGGGCGTTGGTTTCGCAGCAAGGGTGGTCTAGCTGTTCACCGCTGTTCCGCACCTCAGCCTCAGCCTCCCGAGCCCCGGCAAGTCTATGTGCAGGATGCCTGCTGTGCTGCGCACTGTGCTGTGTGTGTCCGCTGCTTTCGGTCTGTGCAAGGCCGCGGTCGTCACCGGTGCTCGAGGACTGGCCCGCGCCCGACTGCCCAGCAGCGTAATTCGTTCAGCCATGTATGCGTGTGTTCTCGCCGGTTCCGTTTGCCCCACCATCTCCGGCGTCATCAGGCTGCGTGCTCCATCTTCCTCTCTGATGCCCCTCCGGGGCCCACGTGACCCCTGTGGCAGTGGCTCTACAGGACAGGACAGGTGTGTGTGTGTGTGTGTGTGTTCACATGACTTCGCCAGTTGTGTGGATTAGACAGTTATCTGGCGCAAGTCTTGATCTGTCTCATTCAGATCTTGTTCGCTATCGTTGCTATAAGAGAAAATCTGTGGGTGCACATCCAGTGCATTTGCAGATTTGCGTGCTTCTCTTGCGACGGGCGTATACATGGTACATGGTGTGTGTGTGTGTGTGTGTGTGTGTGTGTGTGTGTGTGTGTGTGTGTGTGTGTGTGTGTGTGTAGATTATGAGTGCGCCGTCCATGCTTCTTGTTGCTAAAATTTAATAGCATCATGTCATTCGTATAATCTTTCCGGTATGGTAGATGAAAGGCGTATAATGAAGGTTGATTTGTTTTGTACATCGATATTTTTTCGAGAAATGAACATGCGCCCAAACCACCCCCTCCCTCCGATTAGTTTGTTACAACTTACAATCTGACTAAACGTGAATATCCTGGAGTCACGATATCCTGGTGAAGATCTTCCCTCGGCAATACCAACACACATCGCAGCAAGAGTGGATCTACCTACGTTTATGAACTTTTGACACCAGGCCGGCAGGACACTTCTTTTAAAATAATTATGTATCTACATATTGACTGAGTACGAGGTCAGTATAGGAAATAAAAGCCGAGTAAAAAGACCGAGGCGAAGCCAAGGTCTTTTATGAGGTTTTTATTTCCTATACTGACCAGGTACGAAGTGAATATTAGATTTATCTCGACAAAGTGTCCGTATTTCAAATTCCAGAACTATAACCGCAGCAAAAATATGCACAAACGCGTGGTTCCACGCGTACACGCACCAGTTGTGAACACAGCTTTTGCCCTGCTAGGCGAGCTAGCCGTTGGAGGCTAGTTAGTAGTAGTTGTCGTTGATATCGAGCCTTATCACTCTCTTAGTATTGACTCCCATAGATTTTTGCTATCTAAGCAGTCAAATATTCCTGCATGTTTCACTCCTTAGGGCTATATTGACTGCTTATATAGACTTCTTTTTAGGGATTGAATACATGCTTTGGGTAGTCGTGATAAATCTAATATCGACTTCGTAATACAGTAATAAAGTATAGGAAATAAAACCTTGTAAAAGACCTTGGCTTCGCCTCGGTCTTTTACTCAGCTTTTATTTGCTATTGACCTCGTACTCAGTCAATATGATTGTAGATACATGAAGTCATAATCAAAACCCAGTCGACCAGTCATTTGGGTACGATTCCCTCAACGATCGATAATGACAACGTACCTGTCCTTGTAGCTATGTCGGTCTGTCAGGTGTCATTTACATCACTTAGTACTTTCCGTTCTCAAGTAAGTGCGAGTAAGTAATTACCGGTAGTTGCTATGCATTGCGGGTAGCTATGGTGGCGGTATGATCCCACCATCAGCAGGACATGAACTAAACTGGCGAAGCGTTTCACTAGCTGGAGCTAGAGCTCTGTGTTTACATAAAAGAAGTACAGACTCAGTTCACTCCTGCTAGCAAGAGTATAAATGGAGGGTTATATACTCTTGCTTCTAGCCTTCTGATTATGAACTTCAAGCTCAGCTCCGTTTTCACCGATGCCTTCGTGCCAGCTAACGTGCTTATTATTTTCAACAACTGCAATTACTCCGTCTTCGCAAGTAAGTATTAGTTCTAGTTCTAAGAAGTGCTCATTATCAACGCCACACTGGGTCGCAAACCACTACCGGTACATACCAGGTGTGTTGGCTCGGTAGGTTACTCTGCCAGGCTCGACGCCATTCACCGAAAATATCGGAGCCGAGTTGGGAAGGAGTGTAATTGCAACAGAGCAAGCCGGCATAAATCAACGGCCCGCCGGCCTTGAAGAATGGATACACACTACGCGTGTGGCGTGTCGAACCGCTTTGCTCTCCCAGAGGACGATGGGATTTCTACTACGGACATGTCTACCGACCCGGATGTAATCGTGACAGCACTCCAGAAGAAGGCGAAGGAGAAAGCTAAGGAGCTCAAACGGACCAGACGAAAGGAGAAAGCTGAGGCCGCGTTGGCCAAGACCGCTGAGAAAGGTACTGTAAAACTTCCAAGTATCACTACTACTACTACTACTACTACTACTACTAGTAAGCCGTGTTTAACTCTCCCTTGGCCTCCGCCAAGGCCTTGGCTACTACAATAATTATTCAACTATGATGCTTTTCACATACCCGCACTTTATTGTCACACAGCAGGGTTCTGCCGTCGGCCCTTCCTTCTCTGTATCGCTGATGTATTATCATGTGTCCGCAAAGCCAAAGGACGGTCTAGCTCGGCCAACTCGGTAGAGCATCCGGACTGACGTATCCTGTCGACATGTACTACACTTCGTTCTATACTTGTCGTACCATCACCATGATTAGACAGATGTTGAATGAGTGAAGTGAAGTATGAAAACGCTATATTAATGTATGCTTACTTTAATACGCTGATCTACTCACCTCCCACCGCTTTAGGAGCTGCATCTGCGCCTTGATCCTTGAAGGGTGGTGGCGTTCCTACGGATGCGGAAAACTCGGCCTCTATATAGAGAAACCGAGTCTCACGCGAACCGTGATTTTTTTAAACTTTAATAGTGGAAATGTGTGCTTCCTGCACAGACTTTATGTGGCTACATGAGCTTGTGCATGCAATGAAAAACAAACCCCAGTGAGAATAGTCTGAACGTATGCAAAAGGTAGGAGAACTCTTGTTGTTTCTGCATGAAGAAGCCGGAGAATGAAGGAGAACTGTTGTTGTTTCTGCATGAAGAAGGAGAACTCTTGTTGTTTCTGCATGAAGAAGGAGAGCCCTTGTTGTTTCTGCATGAAGGAGAACTCTTGTTGTTTCTGCATGTTGTTTCTGCATGAAGAAGGAGAAAAGAGCCGGTGGCATGCATGCAGTGTAAGAAGACCGGGGAAGAATATCAATCACGATAGGTGGCAGCTGCTGTAAGTGATGGACACAGTTAGGGTGGTTTCCTGACCTTAGCACCGACACCTGTGTGATAAAAGGTGGAGCAGCCAGTGACTGCCGCAATCCTTGGTGCGGTGGCAGCGGGAGCAGCACAGAATGAATGCCTCCGGGGCCACTGGGACTATCATCTTGGGTAGGTTGTTTGGCAACTCTCACTTTGGAATATCCGCCTAAATCTCCCAGGTGATGAGCTCTCTATGTTGCATGAGCGGCGAAGGATTGGGCTGTCTGGCGGAAACATAATCAATATCCTCAACAGAGCCGTCCTCGATTTGGTGATGGCATGTCTGCAAGCCTGCGTGGCCTACAGGGCGACCCAGGACAACTCTTCTTTCGTCTCTCTACCAGGATAGCCTAGCCAGACTCGACATTTGCCTCGGCACACTAACAGGCCTCAATCAGCTGCGGCAGTTGGCAGGGGAGAAGCCACGGTGGAATGGCACGCCGCAGCACTTATCTTCGTCTGCAGCGCCACACCCCTGACTTATCTCCTGCAGGTGAACAATAGTATATTAAGCTGGAACCGTCTTTCTGACATTGCCACTCACACTTGACAATAGCGGCTGTCCATATGTGCAGTCATGTTGAGCCATAATTATACTTCATCATTCAAACATGTTCTTTTTGTGAATCCTTCTTCCCAGAAGACAAATGCTGGTTTTATACATCGTCATGTGGAACTACTCAGCGTTTTTTGCATCGTTAATAATAAAATGTGTGCAGGGCGTGCTAATCGGCCAAGGGTGCACAAACGGTAGTCGGCCGAGAGTGCGAATAACATGAACAGCAAATTATTATAAATTACTCCAAATTGGCTCAATGTTTTAAACGTTGGCTGTCTTGACATGCTACGAGGTGCAGAAATAAATAAATAGATAATAAATGTGTCAGTCCAAGTGCTCAAACTGCGAGAAATACAAGAAGGAGACAAGAAAGTGAAATCATGTGACTCGTATTCATGTCATGTATTGATGCTGTAGTGCATCATAGTACTAGTGTGGCCTATGTTGCAGAGGAGTCGTGCGTGCCGCGTGATAAGCATTCTATTGCATATACATGTAACTGTTACACAAAGTGTCTGAAGTCCTTGCTGCAAATAGTGCTCAATACCTTAAAAAGGGCAGAGCGTACTACACAAGGCAGAACAACAGAGACCAACAATCATTCTCGAAACTCGGAGTAACGAAAGATGTTTGGTCTCTGTTTTTCTGCCTTGTGTACCGTTACATGTGAATTCTCAATGATTTAAATTAAGGCTTGTAGGGGACCAGTTCAAGTTTAGAATGATAGTCGGATACTATTGACTTGACGATGACCCGGCATTTACTGTGTGTTTTTGAACCCCATCTGCCGCAGTACAAACAAGTGACGGCGTGGATTGGGGCAGTCCCGTCAAGACCAATACTTCTGCCAGCTCATCTGCCCAGCTACCTGCACGCACTACTGCAAAATCAAACGGTGGGTCTACGGATTCACGTTCGCCGTCCAAGGGGACATCATTCCACAGTGATGGCTCAAGACATGAGAGAAGTTACCAGAAGCGTGATTACAATGATCAGAAAAGATCAACTGACAGTGACTTGGGAAGGTCATCGTCAACCTCCGGTGGCACGGATACTTTTGGCGATATATCCCTGAACCACCGGGGCAGAGGGCGTGGTGAAGGAAGAGGTCGTGGTAGAGCCAATCATCGCGGCTCGGGCAGCAGAGGCCGAAATTCCTTTGAAGATAATCAGAACACCAGCTCTTTCGGGGGTGCTTCAGGTGGCTCTTTCGGTGCTTCAGGTGGCTCTTTCGGTGCTTCAGGTGGCTCTTTCGGTGCTTCTGGTGGTTCCTTCGGAGATCGCGGTTCTGGAGGTGCTGGTTCCTTCGGAGATGCTGGTTCTTTCGGAGATGCTGGTTCTTTCGGAGATGCTGGTTCTTTCGGAGATGCTGGTTCTTTCGGAGATGCTGGTTCTACCAAACCTGGCCAATATTCATCGCCATCATCCCATAGGGATGGCTCAAGAAACGAGAGAAGCTACCAGAAGCGTGATTACCATCAGAAAAGATCAACTGACAGTGACTTTGGAAAGTCATCCTCAACCTCCGGTGGCACGGATACATGTACCTTTGGTGCACAATCCTCTTCAGTTGGCGACCAATCATCTGGTGATATGTCCCAGAACCACCGGGGTAGAGGGCGTGGTCAAGGAAGAGGTCGTGGTAGAGCCGATCATCGCGGCTCAGGCCGCAGCAGAGGCCGAAGTTCCTTTGAAGATAATCAGAACACCAGCTCTTTCGGGGGTGCTTCAGGTGGCTCTTTTGGTGATTCTGGTGGCTCTTTCGGTGCTTCAGGTGGCTCTTTCGGAGATGGCAGTTCTGGAGGTGCTGGTTCTTTCGGAGATGCTGGTTCTACCAAACCTGGCCAATATTCACGGCCCTCTGGCGGAGGGTTTGGAGGTACTAGCACCAGTAGGACATCAACATTTGGAGATACTTCAGATCAAGATTTCAACAATGATGCAAGGACCGGAACATTCGGTCGGCAGTCTTCCTTAAAGACTGACTTTGACAGGACACCAAGGACGGCAAAGGGAGTCGAAGGGAGCACCAGCCCGCGTGCCGGGCAATCTGTATCGTGGGCAGACGAGTCTGAAGCAGCGTAAGTGATCAGTCTTAAATGGAATCATACTGCATCTTGCTCTTTATATTGTGTCATTTCTTCCGATACCGTAATCTCACGCCAGAGGAACGGGGTAGCAAAGAACAGCCAGGCTTTACCAGTGCAAGTCGCAATGCACTTCACGAAGTGAGAGAGAGTGAGCGATGACTCGAGTACCATAGCCACTTATCTACTGAATGTAGTGAACGTACTGTAAAAACCTGCCTAAGCTGACAGCTGAAGGCACCCCCAAACATGGTTTTCAAAAACAGGTGATTCCCTTTTGCAGGGTACATTATTTGACTGAAATGGACACCCTTTTGCTCTGGCTGCATCTAAAGCTGGGTCCTCTTGGACAGATGGTGTCACCTGAATGAACCACGCCAGTGTGAAGCTAAACATTATAACATTCCTGAGCACCTCCATGGATGGACGGGTTCTGGACCAGTTGTGCTACACTCATGCCTCGCGTATCCCGGCGGTCCGGGGACTGGGCACTGCTCGTAACTTTGAAATGTCCGTAACTCCGAATCATGTACATTTTGATAAGGAAAGGCCATAGATATGGCGTATTGCGTCACCATTTCCTCCAAAATTGACAAAACGCGTAGTGATATTTCCACCCAAACTCGCCCAAAGGGTGCCCGGTAGACCGAAGTGCCCGTAACTTTTGGGTCCGGATAGCCGAGGTATGAGCGTATCACGAGGTACTGGCCGATTGCAAGGGCGGCAGCCATTCATTACCCGCTCTCAGTATTGCCGTGCATCTTCGTTGCTTTTTGCCAGTGCTGAAGCTGCTTCGTCTGGCTCCGGCGGCAAGTCCTCTGTACGTGAAACAGACACCATGACACTGGGCGAGTACAAGGCACTCGCTGACAAAAGCCGCTACCAAGGAAAGCTATGCTTGCGGCAGGCCGGGGAGAGCGAGGATCCAGACCGCTGGAAAGGCACTCGGCAGCTCAAGAAACAAGATGAGGCTAGCCAGCCAGCCACTCCAGGTCGAGCACCGGTTGAAACCATTTCAAACGTGAGTATATGCATGCGATGGCTTGGCTGACCGTGAGAAGCATAAACATAATGTCTAAATAAAGTATCTTTGCATCGTATGCTGTAGAGCTCTGTATTGAAACAGTTGGCATTAAGTCATTGTGTTAGCTGTTGGTTCTTGCTTCTTGATTGGCTTTGCCGGTGTGGGCTCGGTACTCAATCAGTACACTGAACATAGTAGCAGGTACGGCAGATGGGTTTCAACAGGCTCTGCTTCTAGTAGCTTGGAGGGTGTTGTGCGTGTGTGTGTATGTGAATATTTGCGTCTTTATTCTTTAATCAGACCAAATTAAAACCGGTCTGATTTCACTGGTTCAGGTGGGTATAGTGGGACGGACTAAGACCATGACTGAGAAACGGAGATTGCCAGCTTCAAGTCTGTCCTGCTTGGAACGGAAGGATTTTCCCAACTTTTCCTGTGCCCGTTAATTGGACCAACTCGTGGCCTCGCATGCCTGAGGGTGACATGGATGGAGCAAATTGGGGAGAAGTGAGAGAGGGGAGAGTGAGGGGGGGGGGGGGGGAGACCTGTGCCTGAGCAGTTCACTAAATTATGTCCCTGTGCACTTTAATATCTGTCCATGTGTTCAACTTGTACAGACTGCACCATCAAAGAAGAAGCATCTGGACATCAATGTGACATTCACTGGAGATGATTCTCGCTGGGGTGACCATGGCCGAGGTGGTCGAGGTGGTCGAGGTGGACGTGGTGGACGTGGTGGTCGAGGTGGTCGAGGCCCACGTGGTGGACTTTGGGGTCATGGCAGTCGAAGTGGCAACGGCGGGAATCCTGCAGACCAGCAGACTACCACAGAAGACCAGCAGTCTACCACAGAAGACCAGCGGACTCAGAGTGGTGCTAGCCATGATTATGATGTGGATGGTTTAAACGACTCTGAGCAGCGTGAGGCTAACGTCACAGACCAGCATCAAGCAATGTTTGGTGATTACGATTTCCCGAGCCTGTAATCGTTGGAAATTCACCAAAGTGTCCGTGCCTTCAAGCTTCTAGCAGTACGGGCGGTCTCCATGACCCAGTAATGGATATGTCGGCATACTGTGTCGTATGACTCAGTAATGGATGAGTCAGCCTATTGTGTCGCGAATTGATATGATGCTAGAGCTCTGCAAGCCCATTACAGCAGCATTTTTCTTCCTCTTACAACCAAGTTTTCCATCGAGCATGAACTTGAAATTGGTCATCTGTGACTTGAACGCAAGTGAACTGTGTCTTTCGGGCAATGTTTGACTTTCCCTCCTGCTGGATGTCAACCCGAATCGGATCCCAGTTGCCACGGCTACAGCCACTAGCACTGTTGCTGAGCTGTAGCATAACTATAATCCCAGTATTGTGCTTTCATTGGACTGATCCGCTGATTTGATTTGTGTCATTATCCGGGACCTGCTGCAATTTCCCCCAAACTTCAAATTATTATTATTAACTTCAAACTACATGTACTAAAATATTCACTGGTTTGAGGGAAAGACGCAAACGGGAAAAGTTTGAAGAAAAATTGACTATCACCACCAGTTCTCGAACCAGAGACCCTCGCTTGTAGGCATGTAGCCAGTGATGCTCTAACCACGGAACTATGGTGTAGCCGTCATCCCAGCAGAGACCGTTCAACATCTTCTTCAGACTTCGTAACTCCGAGCACACTTCCTGTGAATCCCGACACAGGCAGGTGGGACTCAGCACTCACTGTAACCCACACACTTCACGCACAAACTAGCACGCGGGGAGCCCCAAGTTATAAATATTCACTGGTTTGAGGGAAAGACGCAAACGGGAAAAGTCTGAAGAAAAAATTGACTGTCACCACCAGGACTCGAACCAGGGACCCTCCCTCGCTTGTAGCCAGTGATGCTCTAACCACTCACGGAGCTATGGTGTACTAAATTAGTTGATTTAATTTAAAGCGTCCTGTCTTCTGCCTCCGCCCCCCCCCCCCCCCCCCTCTGCGCACTTTCTTGTCTTGTCCCTAGTATTGTATTTGGCCGTCTGCTGTCTGCTCCCCGTTGTATTTGGCTGTCTGCCGATTTTTGCAGCACGAAGCAACATATTGGGGAAGGTCAAAGGTCGAAAGGTCGAATTATTCCCGGGGCCGAAATGACGTCAAGCGGTCCTGAAATTCCCCGAAATGACGTCAAACAGCCCTGATGGCCTGATTATGCCCGCGGCGGGAACTTCGGACCGCCTATTGGCCATGGCCACGGTAACGATCACGTGTCATGTAAGAACTCTTGGTTCAGGATTGTAATCAGGAATTTTTACATGACACATAATCGTTGCCCAGGCCGTGGCCAATGGGCGGTCTTCCCGCAGCGGGCATAATCAGGCCATCAGGACCGTTTGACGTCATTTTGGACATTTCAGGACTGTTTGATGTCACCGTGATGATTTCGGGAATAATTCGACCTTTCGACCTTTGACCTTCCCCAATATGTTGCTTCATGCTGTAAGAAATCAAATCAAGCACGCTCTGTCTGTTATGATGGCTGAATCTTGACCGAGCGTGCAGCCCAAGGGCCATAGGCCCGGGGCTGCCGGCTGGGCATACGCCTGTGCTATGTGGGGTACGGTTTCCCAGCTAGGGTCCGTACTCCGTAGAGGGAGTCACCTAGGGTTCCCAGTAAAAAGGCAACGTCTGTTGGGACTCCCCTAGTAAAATAATAAAATCTACTACTACTACTACTACTACTACTACTACTACTACTACTACTACTACTACTACTACTACTACTACTACTACTACTACTACTACTACTACTACTACTACTACTACTACTACTACTACTACTACTACTACTACTACTACTACTACTACTACTACTACTACTACTACTACTACTACTACTACTACTACTACTACTACTACTACTACTACTACTACTACTACTACTACTACTACTACTACTACTACTACTACTACTACTACTACTACTACTACTACTACTACTACTACTACTACTACTACTACTACTACTACTACTACTACTACTACTACTACTACTACTACTACTACTACTACTACTACTACTACTACTACTACTACTACTACTACTACTACTACTACTACTACTACTACTACTACTACTACTACTACTACTACTACTACTACTACTACTACTACTACTACTACTACTACTACTACTACTACTACTACTACTACTACTACTACTACTACTACTACTACTACTACTACTACTACTACTACTACTACTACTACTACTACTACTACTACTACTACTACTACTACTACTACTACTACTACTACTACTACTACTACTACTACTACTACTACTACTACTACTACTACTACTACTACTACTACTACTACTACTACTACTACTACTACTACTACTACTACTACTACTACTACTACTACTACTACTACTACTACTACTACTACTACTACTACTACTACTACTACTACTACTACTACTACTACTACTACTACTACTACTACTACTACTACTACTACTACTACTACTACTACTACTACTACTACTACTACTACTACTACTACTACTACTACTACTACTACTACTACTACTACTACTACTACTACTACTACTACTACTACTACTACTACTACTACTACTACTACTACTACTACTACTACTACTACTACTACTACTACTACTACTACTACTACTACTACTACTACTACTACTACTACTACTACTACTACTACTACTACTACTACTACTACTACTACTACTACTACTACTACTACTACTACTACTACTACTACTACTACTACTACTACTACTACTACTACTACTACTACTACTACTACTACTACTACTACTACTACTACTACTACTACTACTACTACTACTACTACTACTACTACTACTACTACTACTACTACTACTACTACTACTACTACTACTACTACTACTACTACTACTACTACTACTACTACTACTACTACTACTACTACTACTACTACTACTACTACTACTACTACTACTACTACTACTACTACTACTACTACTACTACTACTACTACTACTACTACTACTACTACTACTACTACTACTACTACTACTACTACTACTACTACTACTACTACTACTACTACTACTACTACTACTACTACTACTACTACTACTACTACTACTACTACTACTACTACTACTACTACTACTACTACTACTACTACTACTACTACTACTACTACTACTACTACTACTACTACTACTACTACTACTACTACTACTACTACTACTACTACTACTACTACTACTACTACTACTACTACTACTACTACTACTACTACTACTACTACTACTACTACTACTACTACTACTACTACTACTACTACTACTACTACTACTACTACTACTACTACTACTACTACTACTACTACTACTACTACTACTACTACTACTACTACTACTACTACTACTACTACTACTACTACTACTACTACTACTACTACTACTACTACTACTACTACTACTACTACTACTACTACTACTACTACTACTACTACTACTACTACTACTACTACTACTACTACTACTACTACTACTACTACTACTACTACTACTACTACTACTACTACTACTACTACTACTACTACTACTACTACTACTACTACTACTACTACTACTACTACTACTACTACTACTACTACTACTACTACTACTACTACTACTACTACTACTACTACTACTACTACTACTACTACTACTACTACTACTACTACTACTACTACTACTACTACTACTACTACTACTACTACTACTACTACTACTACTACTACTACTACTACTACTACTACTACTACTACTACTACTACTACTACTACTACTACTACTACTACTACTACTACTACTACTACTACTACTACTACTACTACTACTACTACTACTACTACTACTACTACTACTACTACTACTACTACTACTACTACTACTACTACTACTACTACTACTACTACTACTACTACTACTACTACTACTACTACTACTACTACTACTACTACTACTACTACTACTACTACTACTACTACTACTACTACTACTACTACTACTACTACTACTACTACTACTACTACTACTACTACTACTACTACTACTACTACTACTACTACTACTACTACTACTACTACTACTACTACTACTACTACTACTACTACTACTACTACTACTACTACTACTACTACTACTACTACTTGACACAATCTTTATTAGGAAACTTGAAATGGAGATGTGAAACACAAATACAGCCATGTAGATGGAGCAGCAATGCAATACAATGTCCAAAAACTCAAGAATTCATTATCATGGGGCAATGTTGGGCAAATGTCTGTCAGGTACTATCACGCTCAGGCTGCCCGCAACCTGCACATCGTCGTGAAATTCATCCTGTTGCGGCGGTATGACGATCTTGAACCACGCAAACAGGTGACTGCCCATCGCATAAGGCAGACTGACAGCTTGCAACGGAGCTGACCCATGATAACCGATACGTGTAGGTCGACGTTCTTCTCAGCAATCAGGCATGCCAGTGTCTTCAGTGCCATTGAACATTCTCTGCCAATCATGCCCGAGGTAGAAAAAACTAGCGGTGTAAACGTACCTCTGTCAACTGCTGTCACCCGCTCTCCGTACTGGCGCTTCTTCATCCGTTCATGCGTACTACTACTACTACTACTACTACTACTACTACTACTACTACTACTACTACTACTACTACTACTACTACTACTACTACTACTACTACTACTACTACTACTACTACTACTACTACTACTACTACTACTACTACTACTACTACTACTACTACTACTACTACTACTACTACTACTACTACTACTACTACTACTACTACTACTACTACTACTACTACTACTACTACTACTACTACTACTACTACTACTACTACTACTACTACTACTACTACTACTACTACTACTACTACTACTACTACTACTACTACTACTACTACTACTACTACTACTACTACTACTACTACTACTACTACTACTACTACTACTACTACTACTACTACTACTACTACTACTACTACTACTACTACTACTACTACTACTACTACTACTACTACTACTACTACTACTACTACTACTACTACTACTACTACTACTACTACTACTACTACTACTACTACTACTACTACTACTACTACTACTACTACTACTACTACTACTACTACTACTACTACTACTACTACTACTACTACTACTACTACTACTACTACTACTACTACTACTACTACTACTACTACTACTACTACTACTACTACTACTACTACTACTACTACTACTACTACTACTACTACTACTACTACTACTACTACTACTACTACTACTACTACTACTACTACTACTACTACTACTACTACTACTACTACTACTACTACTACTACTACTACTACTACTACTACTACTACTACTACTACTACTACTACTACTACTACTACTACTACTACTACTACTACTACTACTACTACTACTACTACTACTACTACTACTACTACTACTA